CAAAAATTGCTTCCCTGAACAGGCAATTGACTGAATAAAATTAATATGAACATTACACCAGCTCCTTCTACCATGACAGATTACGATAAACATAAAAATAGGTGGCTGAGTGGAAAAGTGCTTTAATCTTTCCATTTGGAAAACCCACCACAGTCCCAAATCTTGCCTTGGGGTAACAGGAAGTTTTATTTTCAAGACCCTTTCCCAGAATATAATTATTGCATTTGTAAATTGTAAAACATTCAGCCCTACTGTCCCAGCTCCCCAGTCCTCTGTGTTAAGAAGATCAGAAATGTTAGGCTGAGTCTGAGTTGCACTGCTAGACCTTGGCAGAGGAAATGTGCATTATCTCCCTGGGGGATGCCTGTTTTTGTGAAACCATGCCTATGCTGGGACACTCAGCAGAGCTGGAAGAAAGGCCTCACATATAGCATGATGTCAGGATGCATAAACTGAACTGCACAGAAGTTGGTTTAGCTGCTTTCTCTTGGGAGCAAGGTGAGCTTCATTTTCTGTGATGTTCTGGGTACATACTACAGTAAATTAAAAGGAACATCCAGATGGGATTTAATATGGTGAATGGACTTCATGCCTTTCATTGAATATGCTTGGCATTCACCAAATGTCTCTGAATAAGCACAACTTGAGTATGTACTTCCACGGGCAACGAAGTTGCCTGAACAGAATTAAAAGAATACAGACAATTAACAATATTTCTAACTGCATAATTTTCAGGAACAAAATTACTGTAAAAGGCATCTCTCTGGTCATTTATAAAATGCTACAAAAAAAAAAAAAGAAATATATATATATTCTAACACAGTCTTACGAAAATGTCTTAAAATGGAAGAAAATAAATACATATTTTGGACATTTCTACTTAATGCTCCTTTGTTTTTTTTCCCCTAAGTATTGCAGGATCACTTCCCCGTGCATGTGATCTCACACATATAATGTATATTGCAATTGCCCATAAAAAAAAACAGACTGCACTAAGAATAGAGGACTAGATACTCATCTGGCATAATGTGAGACCACTCCAGTAATTTCAGCATTCCTACTCCAATTTGCAACAGCTAAGGATCTGGCACAAAACATTAAGTTAAGTTTCCAATTACCTCATGCCCCAGCATTGATTTCAGTAGTTATATACACATAGTCATAGAGGAGAATTATTTGAAAAACTGCAAACTCAGCTCTCTATTATTTTTTACTTCTGTGGTCTAAATCAGACCTTTCATGGTATTTTAATGTAGATTTTTGTGGTTTAATTATATATGTTTCAAGAGTAGACTAGTTACTTGCTGCATCTACCCAATTAAAGAAAGAAAGGCAGCAGTAATTCTTTACACTGCTGAGAATGTCAGCTTATACTGGGTCACGTCACAAAAGTAATTAGTGTTGCCAAAAAATCTAGTGTATATTAACCTAAACACATAACTAAAAAGTTATCACCTATACAAAATCAGTCTTCCCTATGTGAATGTTTTGTAGGTTGTCTTGGGAGGTCTTTTTTTCCAATTTGCTGCTCCAAATTAGTCAAATTGTATAAACCTGCCACAGTAAGAGGCAACTGTAAAGACACAGTATTCAGTCAGCCCAGAGAGACTGAGTTCTTCTGAGACAGCACATAAATTACATCCAGCTGAACTGCCCTACACAGCCCTGCAACATTACTCGCTACACTACTTCTACAGAGAGCTGCTCAATGAAAAATCATCGAAATAGTATTTATTTATTTATTTATTTAATTATAGGAAAAAGACACAGACCTCCAAAGGAATTTAGGCACAGAAAACCTTCAAACTCCTCCTTTTCGAAACCATGGTAATTGCAGTCTAACTCAAAGTTTAGTGTCATGTACCTAAGCCTAATAGCTTAAGATCAAATTAGTCTCACTGGTATATGGACGTCCAAAAGTTCTGAAGATAATCATTGGTCATTACAATCTTCCCTTGGAGAAGTGGGGAAATTTTAGACATGGAAAAATTTCAAACAAATTAAAACTTTAATATGCTTTAACTTTAATATTCCTCAGACACCCACTCGCATTTGACATTTTGCTCAAAAGTCTGATAACTACTCTATATACAATCCTGTGACTGAGATGGCCCAGTGAATCATTTCAATACAGGATAAATGATCATTAAAGTAATTTTCACTGATTAACATTAAAGCAAAAACAGGGCCAGATATTTGTTACATTTCTCAGGCTTAGAGACAAAGAGAAGAAACCTCTTTAAAATAGTTTTCGCCAAGGTACTGTATAACAAGACATCCCAAAAGCAATCTTTCTAGCAGCATTACAAAATAAAATGTGGACTAAAAATGTGAATTTTATTGCCTCTTAAAAGAAATTTTATTATTTACTTGATATATAAGCTCTCTTCTTATCTGAGCTTTTGCACTGCAAAGTGCATCCAAGTTCCTTTAACCACTTCTGATTTAATGACAGATTTAATAACACTGCAACACAGAAATGTGGACTTGGCCAAAAAAATTTTTTTTTTCATAAAAATGTGATGTTTGTACAGCAACATTCTAAAATGTAACCTAATACATACAAGTAAAGCAGAATTTTTTTGATGCATATGATAAACCCTAGGGTTTTGATAGGTATAACATCTACTGACTTTAAAAGACCATGAAGATAAATTATTTTTAATAACCATTTTTATTTAATTTTTAAAAGAGTAGCACTAGAACCATGCCCTGAAATCTCAGGGGTGATTAAAGGGCCATGCCAAAGCTGAAAGGTTTCAAATATCAAACTATACTATTATGTCAGGGTCAGCAAGATCAATTAGCGCTTTTCAATGACAGAAAAAGGTTAAGTTGAGCACACATTTGCACAATATTTAAATCCAAAAAAGAAAAATCGCGCATATTAAGTTCACTTATAAACCTTTCGACTGATGACTGAATATCAAAACTCTTCTTCCACTTGCATAACATAAATACCGGTTTTTTTACACAAAAAGTCAGAAAGACTGCAGATACATTAGACAGTAGAAATACTACTGGACTGTCAAGTACAAAGAAAAAGTAAAGACATCTGAGTGTTTCTGCTACCAGACTTAGTTTAGCACTGAACTTCTTAAAAGCTTTAAAAATACTTGATCAACTTGACAGATGTCTGTTAGTCTGATGCCCCTGTGTTTGCATTCTTCCTGCAAACCCTGACAGTAGCAAAAAAGAATGGTAGGGAGCAAATAAACCTATTCCTATGTTCAACTAAAAAAACAAATAGAAAACTACCATACAATAAACCCATACCCACCCTTCAAATTAAAAATACTAATCTGTAAATTAACTCGTCTTAAATCTGGAAAAAAACAAACGCAATTAAAAGCCATGAGAAACATGCACACCAGGAAGCACGGAAATTTACATTTCAGTTCTTAGTATCACAAGAACACTCACTCAAAATACAGGTATGTTAGAAGTTAATTCAACACCTGTTAATACAAATGTTGCCGTCGTAAACATAGCTTGAACAAAGTACCTGGTTATGATATCAAATAAAGCCAGCATAAAATCACAATAAAAATGCAGGAGAGTAACAAAAACTAAGGACAAAAGAACACTGTGTTGAAATCAGTGATTTAGATTGGAATTGCATTATTTTGAGTAAAAGCAAAGCAAGATTACCTTTCTTCAATGTTATATTTCAAAAGTCTCTATTTAAGCCCACTTCTCTATTTCTTCAAGGAGTGATTTGAAATATTTACTACCAGACAGTACCTAATTTTAGGTTTTAAGTGCTTTAACAGCTCTATGAAATATGATCAGCAGCTGCAATATAGAAGTATGCTGAATAAAGTCTCCTTATAAAAAGGGAGACCTGTTTTACCCCGAGTTCATAAAATCCCTACTTTCAAGAAGGAAAAAGATAACAGAGGAAAAAAATAATAGCTGTGTCCTAGAACATTTGACAAAAATTCTAGGAATTTCTTTCTTCTTTCTCTATTAACTTTTGTACTTAAAAGGAAGAAGCAGTTTAAACTTTAAAACTGAAGGATTGCGCAGAACATCGTGCAATACCACCAGTACATCAAGGAAAGAGACAGGTACCTTTCCCACACCAAATGCCAGTGTTTAATATTAATTCTAGGACTGAAAGGTGAAAGTTGCATAAAGTTTAAAGTGTTAAACTGTAACGCTTGCATCAGATGCTAAAAATATGCTACAGGATACTATCTATAGCTGTATTTCTAGTTACCTTGTTTGAAATATTTTAACTGGAAACTGCAATTAACTGGAAAACCACCGTTGTCCTACTCATTACATTGCTTGTTTACAATTTATTTATTCCATTGGCATTATCCATAAAGAATAAATATCTATTGCAAAGTGTTGTGAAGCCATTAATAAATACAAATCCAGCAAGAGTAACTGTCAACTAAATTTATCAGCGGTAGTCATATACTCGTAACAATTAATAACATCATACAAATTATCTGAACAATCTACATGAAAGATTAACCAACAAACTCCTCTTTCATTTCTATTAGATATGATTGAAAAGCATCTGGTAACATAAATACCAGAACTTTCAAAAGAAAGCAAGAAGAGCTGTTTTGGACATAGCCCAGCTAACGTTAGATGTCAAATACAGAGGAAGAATCATAGGGAAGACAGCAAAATGTCAGTCTGTATTTTCACTTTACTCACAGTCTGATACCTACTGCAGGTATACAAGTATTTGTTATTTAGCAGCATTTTCAGAAATACGAGAAGGAAAAATCAAACTCACAGCAATTTTATGAAACTTTTCTTCTGAGTGTTAAGGAAATGAAACAAAAATATAGCTTGAGCTTTAATAGAAAGTGCATGCTTCAAACAACAAACTTTGAGGTCAGACTAAAAAATATATTTACAATTGTATAATTCACTCTAAATCTAAACTGTTGATTAGTTTATCTTAGATACACTTTCTAGTCTCCGCATGTGAAACACGCAAAACAAAACCCAGAAAACTGTAAATACTGGTTCCTTACTGTTCTAGCATGACTTCACGCTTAAACTCGAACCGGCCAAGGCGCTCCCTTGTCTGGTACAGCTTGCCTCCCAGGATTTTTCTAAGTACCAGCTATTTCACACCGCCACGCGCGACCTCAGCGTGTCCCTCCGTGTGCTCGGCTGCAAGCCCTGCCCGCGGGTCCCGGGGCCGGCAGCAGCGCGCCCGTTTGGCTCCGAGCGGCGGTTTCATAAATGTAAATGAAACTTTAGATGCCAACTACCGACTGGCAGCGGCGCTGCCGCGGAATCCCGCTCTCCCTTCTCGGAGGAAGGCGCCGCGGGGCTGCTCCCCCGCGGGTGGGTGCCGGGCGCGGCCCCGGGGCACCCCTGCGCCCGGGAGCGGCGCGGAGCCCCCGCGGCTCGGGGAGAACCGCCGCCGAAGCCGTGTGGAACCCAGCTGGCGGTTCTCCGCGGGCATCTGATTTTGGAAGGGTCTGTAATTGACAGCAGGAGAAGGAAATTAATGGCTATGAGCCCACTGGGTTTGAACACGGAGAATCCTGTTACCTCCTCGCGGATCAAGTACGCGCGCACACCCGCACACACACACACAAGGTTCCCCCACGTGGAAACGCTTTCTAACCAAACGCAGGACCCCGCATCGCCGGTGGGAAGGGCGGCGGGACCCCCGTGCCGGGGTTTCCCCGTGGCCCAGTCCTTCTGCGCAGCGGGGACCCGCGGCGGGGGCGGGGTGGGACGAGCCGAAAACGCACCGTTTCGTCCTTTAAAACCACAAGAAAAACAAGCCGGGGCGGGGGAGGGGAAGGGCAGGAGACATCCCTCAGGGAAAGGAAACGGAGAGGAACAAAAACAACGGACAACTCTGTCCCCGCTCCCCTCGGACACTGGGAAAAGTGGCTGCCGGAGCCGCCGCGGCGGGTCCCGGCCGGGAGGCAGCGGGAGGCAGCCTTGCCCCATCCGCCGGTACCCCGAAGCGGGCGGGCAGTGGAGACCCCCGAACGCTGCCGGCGTCTGGGGCAGCGGGGCCGAGGGCGGGCGGCAGAACCGACCGGCTCCTCTGCCGCCACCGCCGCCTGTGCCTGCGGCTCCCGGCCAGGCTGGCTCACCCCCGCGCTGCGCAGACCCTCGCTGGAAGGAACGGGGTTTTCGGGAAGGGGCTCTCTACCATCCCTGCGGGTTTTTCACGTCGCTCTGGCCGGAGGGGGTTCCCGCCGCCAGAAATGTTGTTTCCTCCCAGACTCTGGTCAAGTCGCCGCCGGCCCCGGCTCTCGCCGGCCGACCTGCCCCCCGCCTCCCCCAGGCGGGCCGGCAGCCCCCGGCTGCTATCGGGGCTCAGCGCGGGTCCCCCGTTTCCGCCGCTACAGGGGTGGCCGGGAGGCGCAAGAGGGGAATAATGAGAGGGCAGCCGTGACGGCTTGCGGCTGTCTTGGGGCTTACCGCGGCAGAGCCGGTAACAGCTAGCCGAAGAAAGGTGAGGGCAAAACGGCGGGGATTGTCACCTGGAGCGGGGCAGAAAATCCGCCTGGGCGTGGAAAAAGTCACCCCGCTCGCACTGGAGACCAGTCTGGTTTTTTGCAACTAAACTCGCGTGGGGCCGAGGGTGAAAGCTCGTCTCTACCACTCCGCTGCTCCTTCCCATCACGTTTGTTTTACAGTAACTTTGTTGTTGTTGTTGTCATCAGACCAACACGAAAAGAATGCTAAGTAAACGCTAAATACAAGCACATGCACACACACGCCTCCACGGACACATGAACACGCGACAGGGAAGCGGTTTCCTCCACCTCCGAGCAGAAGGGGTGGGAAGCAGATACGGGGACCGGGAAGTCAGAGAAACTTACCTTCTCGCTGCTGGGATATGCCGCTACCTTTATTTTAGGGCCGCTCCTTACGTATTTATTCTCGTACCTTCTCCGAGCCGAGGCTCCCCTTTTGCACTGTTCCTCTGGCAAAAACAGAACATCCCCTCTACCAAGTTTCCCCCCCCCCTCCCTTTCTTCACACACAAATAAAGCACAACTCGGAGCAAAACGGGAGGGGAAATTCGGGGAGGGGGGGGAGGTAGATGGAGGAGGAGGCTGGTGCAGGAGAAGCCACACACACTCCTCGCACTTCAGCGAGTGCAACTAGTTGCCTCTCACGCACAGGAATGTAGAAAGTTTCTCTAGCAAGGGACGGCACTTTCCTAAGAAAAGGTAACCCCCTCCCGCTCTCCCGCCCAAAAAGGCCGTCCCAGGAGCGCGGAGGTGAGGGACGAGGACCGCGGGAGCCAGCGCAGTCCCGGGCGCGCCGCTTCGCACTTGTGCCGGGCGCTGCCGCCGGGGCTGCGCCCTGTTCCAGCCCCTACCTCGGCACGACAGCCCGACTGTCCCGCTGCCCATCCGCTGCCGCCCCGCTCAGCCCCGCTTAGCCCTACTGAGCCCCGCTCAGCACGCCTTCGCTCCCGCTGCCCCGGGCCCCGGCACACTGCGGCGGGCACGGACCGCCGGCTTACCCGGCCACCAGACAACTCCAGAGTGTCCCTCCCGGCCTTCCCGGCCTCGCAGCCCAGAGCTTGGACCTTTCGCCTTTGCTGCTCCCTGGAATCTGCAGTGAATAGTGATGGGAGCAAAGGAGAGGGCCCTGAAGGGTCACAGGTTGACTAATGCCAATCCACTCGACTACAGGTAGTGGAGTCTGCACTTGACTTTTTCCATTTGTTTCTTCTACAAGAGGCCAATACTATAAAGTAACCCTGAGTTTTTGGAAAGACTATGAGTGTATGAATGATCAAGTGCTACACAACAGGAGTGGATGGTGTACCCTTTTACAGGATGCATTTGTCTCCTTGTTCTCAAGCACGCCAGTGTGGATGGAGACAAAGTCCTTTCCTGCTCTGAAACTGAATGCTCTTTTCTGCAGGAAATTCAGCAGCTCCATATGGTCCTTTTTGCTATTTAGTGTGGGGAAGCGGAAGAAAACCTCTAATTGCTTAGTCACATTTCATGCTTTTACCCTTCACCTTGTTTTATCTCCTGAGTATTATTTCAGTGCATAGATTGAGTGGCTCTTGTCCAACCAGCTGCGTCACCCTCTTTTTGTCAAGTTAACTTCACTCTCCAAAGGGTGCAAGTCAAAAATTTAAAAGAGGAGGCAAAGTTAGGCCATAAATCTAGAGAGAGATGTGAAAGAAAAGTCCTGGTTTTCAGAAGTACTGAGTATCAGAAGCTTTTGAGGTCAGCAAGTCACCTGAAATAAGGGGGGGGGCAAAGATATGGATTTGTGAAGATTCTTTCCTACCTGCCTTCTCTTTCCTTAGGTTGTGTTTGGTGATACTGTTTAAAGCATAACATTACTCAGGCTGTCTGCCTTTGAATTTAATAATTTGCATTCAATGAACTGTAGTAACATGGTTATCTCTCTCCTAAATAATTTCAGACTTAAGACAACTAAATCTTCATGAAAGCAGGTCTATAAAAACTTTATATTTGCTGTCCTGGGAAAGTCACAATGCAGAAGGATGACAGACTCAGAAAACTCTTTTGACCTACAAAAATACAACTAGAAAAACTTCTAAACTAAAAAAGCCTTCAAAAGCCAACCTTCAAATTGTCATAGTGTGGGACAAGCCAGAAATACTAAATGAATTTTGAAACTGAGAGTTTAGAGGGGAGAAAACTGGAAGGGGAGAAAACTCAGATTTGTGGGAATAATTATGATTGACAACCCTGCCAAAGACTAGGTTGTGACTAATGCCAGCACACATCTTGCTAACAGGCTCCTTCTGCAGGGAAACGTGCTAACAACTCCTTCCTTTCTAGAGGACTTTTGTGAACGGCAGCACAGTGGTCTAACCTGAGGTTCTCGAACATGGTAATAATGAAGGTCTTTTGAAGTCTGGTTTCTTTCCACTTCAATGAAACAAATTCCTTTAAGGGGAATAGTCCCCTAGTAACGTCGGTTGTTTTAATAGACATATCAGTTTAAAGCAAGCTCTTAAACATCTGTTGCACTCTCTCTTAAAACGTAAGGTACAGCTGACTTGAAAAGATTGCATACATCTTTGTTCAGCATAACTCACTTCAAAATGAGGAGAGATGAGAGGCTTGCATTGTTGTTACATGGTATGGCCCCAAGACAAGTCTCCCAGTAAGGGGGCTGGTCTTGATGTCATTGGATCACGTTGTTGTTTTGGTATTCATTTTGGTAAGAGTGAGCAGTGTTGTACCAAAAGTAATGAGTGTTTGGCCTGGGTCAAAAGGGACTGAGAGGAGTCCTACAGAAACTGATCTCCTAACCAAACAATTTTTCACATTGATTGTAAATCTGACTTTCACAGGTAGAAATTAAATGATGATTTTGTTAAATCACTCTCTTTGGCCTGAAGTAAATTCCAGTGACCTCAGTGGAAGTGATTTCAGAAAGCCAAAATGTTGTACAATACACTGGTTCATATAAATTGACTATGTGTGACCATAGAAAAGGTCATGCTAGAAATAGTCCCAAGAGAGCCCAAGGAAGGGCTGTAGGACCCACTTTTACACCAGAAGAGAAGAATAATACCTTATCCATTTAAAGCAACATGGAAATGTAAGTAGGCAAGATGTAATTATCTAGATTGCTGTTTGGCCAGGCACTTCTACAGTACCAAAACCTATCAGGGTGTTTAATGTCCACAAGCACTCGGTATCCTTGGTTTTACCTCTTAAATAAAGACAGCACTTGTGATCATGTCCTTTATGCTGGTTCAATACTGACTCAGGAGAAGAATGTCACCTTGCACAAATACCAGTTCACACAGTAACTTGGAATTTCCTTGGAGGTCTTCCATGGAAATATTATAGACCCAACCCTACTTACCTTGGTAAATCTAGTGAGATTACAGCCATAAGTAGTATGGCTCCAGAGAATCATGTTTGAATATGTTGCTAAAAACAATAAGGGCTTTGAAATATTTATGAGTAATTTTTAAATTAAAGCAATATTTTTTTACATTGCATCTCAGTAACAACAAGGTTTTGTTGTTGTTTATGCAAAGGGATTATACTTAGTTATTCTGAGAAAAACTAATGACAGACAGTCACTATTTTGGCAATGTATCATGATTATGATTTATTGAAGTGCCTACCATATGCTGCATCCATCTTAGGTACCTGTCGCAATTTTGTTTTACAAAAGCAGGGCTTTGAAATATGGCTTCTTATTTTCAGGTTCAAGTATGAAATCCAAAAGCCTGTTAATTAGGCAAAGTGGGTTGATCTGTATACTTCAGGTTATTATTGGTTCTTCATGGCTTTATGGTCATAAAAAGAAAGAATGAATGGGGGTTCTTTTGACCTGGTTATCAGATTTCAAGTTTAAAAAGAAGGTGACACACCCTTTTCAGTAATTCAACATGCAGGGTTCAGCTGTGGGTTCAAAAACAGGTTACAACTGGCTAGTCATTGTGCTCTTGAAATGCCAACTGTGCCTTTAAGTATGTTATATAACCTATTTTTTTGTTTCAGTTCTCAAGTATGGCATCATTTCATTGTTATTTGGATTTCCATATATTTTTTAATCCAAACAGATCTGACCTCAATCATAAGGTTCCATGGCTCCAAATAGCTGAGCTTTTCTAATATTTTATTTTGAGTGCCTACGTTCAATACTTCATCACATAGATATGTGCTGCAGACAGTGCCAAATACTGTGCCAGGGATGTCCTCGATTATCTTCAGTGCTTACCAGGAGAGGGCTCTGTTCTGCATACCATACACAGAAAAAAGTCCCACTGAAAGTAGTGCGAGTTTTGATTCTAAAGCTTGCTTGAAATGAAGCTGGCTAAGTGCAGATGAAAACTTACATTTTTTCAGCTGTCTGTGCAGGCAGAATGAGGTGTGCTTTATAATTAGTATCCTGCTATTACACCAGGATCTTTCTTCCTTCTTGGGAGAGACCCGCTCTGCACCCTACAAGGTACCTTTCCATCATGTTTCATGTAGGTTTCATGAAGTTTTGTTTAAGTAATCTACAGAGCCGACCCAGAGAAAATATTGGGCCATACGTTTTTTTGTTTGATGAACCATGTTTTCCTTGGTCATTGTGTGATACAAAAACTATGTCTGTACTGATCAGGGACACAGATCTAGCACACAGATCTGTTTGTTAGCTTACTTCTTGGAGTGGTTTTGCTCTCATCAGTTAGTGTTCTTATAAAAAATGCCCTGGTGCAGTTCAGGGTGTGGTATGGGTCAAGGATCATTCGTGGTGCTTTGACTAGTCCAGACATTCATCCTATGCTGGAGAATGAGACAGTTGATAATGAGAATTTTGGCCTTCCAGAAACACTGCTCTGACAGATGGCCTCAGGTCAGAGAGCAATCTTCAGATAATTTCCTAGTGCAGATGTAGCCTGAAAGTCACTCTAAGTCCTATTCCAGAGACAACATTAGGTCAGGTTGTTGGGGAGGTAGGAGAACTGTCAGGGCTGGCATTACCTCACCTCCAGAGCCTCTGGCACTGGGGGAGAACTGAGGGTGTGCCCCACACCCATTTATGTTTATTCTGGCTGTAGAACTTTGTTTCAGATTTCATTTCATCATAAATAAAATAAAAAGTAATCCATGGATGATTTATAAAAATGTGAACATTTTGATCTGTTTCATTAAACATTAGTGCTGCTGCTTAATGTAATTCCCTTGAATTTGCTTTTTAATCAGTTTCATGTTAGATGTAGTTTCCTCACTTTTTGATTACTTCTAGGAATTTCTACCATATTTTAAAACTTCTCTCTAGTTATTTTTATCCATTTACGACATTATTCAATGGAATAACTCTGATATGGCTACCATGCTATTTCTAAAGATCTATTTAAAGCATCCTCAAAATCTGTGAGACATAAAACCCAGTGTTTTGAAAATGGTTTTTGGTTACGTATATATAGGTAGCATAAACCAAAGACATCATTTATTGTCATTGATCAGAAATGGTCTGTGTAAGTGAGTACTTATGTTTGTTATTCAACTATCAGCATGTTGAGGTTTCCAGTGAAACCAATAGTAAACCATTCATCAATGTCGCTGTCAGGAGGATTGAGCTTGTTATGCAATAAACTCAAATACAGATTCACACCAAGAACTTTTTACTACAGTGTAGCATCATATTGTTGCTGTGTTGCATTATACTATAATAACATATAATAAGTAAAGAATGATTTGCCATAAGTTTTTTCACATCTTTTTATAGAAGTAAAAATGGCATTGCCAAATGACGCTACAAATGACGTATATTACCATTACACTAAAAATAACTCTGTTACTTCTAGAAGCATGATTGAATTCAGATTAATTCAGTACAAGATTAAATGAATTTCAGGCAATTTCACTCATTTATTTGCAGGTGGTGTGCAATAGAGGAAGGAAACAGAAAAACTATAAAATGAAAAGCAGAGATTAAAAAAAATTATGTGAAAGAGTATTTTCAGAAAACCTGTTTTATTTCAAAGTACAAGTTCCTTTCGCCTGTTGAAATGTTCTGTTCAAAGACTTCAGGCATTTCTGAACATGTACATTGTAGCTGCAGTATAGTCTAAAAGTATATATAGATATAAGCTGCTGGTTTATTTGCAGCATTGTCATAATGGTAGTAGGCAGAAAACCAGGTGTAGTATTTAGGGATAATTATCCTTCCTTTTCAGAAAGTATTGCAGTGTTGTCTTGTATTGGGGTACTCTTGATCAGACTCTTCAGGTGTTGGTTTCTGTGAGGTCCTCATCCTGAATCTCAGAAATATCAATTAGAAATAAACTGATTAGGTTATTTTAAGGACAGTTATTTTAAGATATTTAAACAGCAGTTGTAGAGGTCTGTTTTGTACATGACTTAGTTAGTCCTGAGGTTACACTCCTTATTAAATCATTCTTTAGGCATTTCAGTATTAAGATGACCAGCAAGAGGTAAATTTGTTCCGTTCTGACACTGAAATAATAAGCATTCTCTGAAAGAATCACTTATGTTCATGGTTTCTGCATTCTTCCAATGGGTCTATTATGTAATATATTAGTAGTTATTAATGTAGTTATTATATTTACATTTGGTTACTTATTAACATTTACTCATAATTTATACATGTCTGCTTGGAGGTCTCACTGCACTTTGTAAAAGCAGAGGCAGGCATAGTCCCTACCCCAGGGATCTCACCAGCTAGCCCCATGTAAACAACACAAAAGTTACTAAAAAAACAACGTCTGGCATGATCATCCACTGGTTGAAGTCAGTGGAAAGAAACACTTCTGTTTTCGTATTAACTGGAACATATCTTGCTGAGTATCTATAGATTTTGTGTGGCATTATTACTGCAGTTACACTGGACTGCATAAATGATGGAACAGTCTTTCAGCAGAGATTGTTTGAGGTGCTTTCTGGAACCATCAGCTCCAAATTATAAGCAAGGTAAGAATATACTAATGTGAAACTAAATAATTTCATATAACCTTGTTTCAGCACTGATATTCAACAACATTGATATGTCAAAAGTTGTGGGAGCTGCCTGAGCAGCAGTCAGCCAATTTTCCCACATCAGACAAATACAGAATATGTGCCTTTTCAGTCTCATTTTTGGGGTAGAAGAACTTGTCAGACAGATTGCTGTGTGTGATTGAGTATTGATGAAATGGTACATGCACATCTTTCTCTCCGTTAGTTTGCAATTGGGCAACAGCTGTCCTGGGACAGGAAAAGGAAGCTTTTGACAACAGTCTCCAAAGCAGTCACGAGTAGTTTAAAACAAGAGGCAGAGGTTCATCAAGGTAAATATGTTTTCTTGAACCTTCATCCTTCCTCAAGTCTCCCATTATATTCTTCTTTTTCTGGTAATAAATACTTTGCATTTTTTCAAACAATTAAAACCAAATGGTGTAGGTTTTGCCACAGCTCCTAAGTTGTTCTGAGACCTACAAGTGGTTATTTGGGTTCTGGTTTCAGAACATCTTTGCTATTAGAGTGAAAAAGAGAGTAAAGAAAACAGACACAAGGGATGTGGACCACTGATGAGAACAAAGCAGCTAATGTAAATCTCCACTCCTTGCCCTATAACACCCCACTTCATTAAAAGAAATACAAAGTACTCTTCCTCCTCACCTTTTGCATTAGTTGACTACACTTGGGACTGGCTGTGAATGTGAGTGCTTTATTAGCATTTAAATAATCTGTACTGCTGTGTAAATGAGACAGAAGATTGAGCTTCATGGCAAAATAAAAAAAAAAAAAACCAAACACATATTCTGAAAGGTGACAGCCCATGTTTCCTTTTCCCTGCCCCATATCCTGTTCTGGCAAAACTTTTCTCCATTTCTGACTTAATAAAAGCATATACATATTCTGATTTTTTTTTTAATGCACATTGTTATTATTCACACTTTTGAAGCTCAGAGAGGGACCAATTTAGAGGGCCTAAATTCTGGGGAGAGTTTTGTTCTGGAAACAATTATTTTTATTGAGAACTACTGATGAGGTGATTACCTAAAAATTCAGTGGCAGGAAATTGAAGAGGAGGCAATTTCTGAGTTTTGAAAGATCATCAATAACAAGTGAAAACAAGTCAGGTTTCTCCATAGATTGTTTACACAAGAGTAGTTGTTGATAAATGAACTTCAGATTAGGTATTAGAGGTACATAGCCTGCAAAGTGTAATAACAGTTTTACTGCTCAGAGCTTGTGAAGACTGCATAATTTATAGGCAATTTACTCAAGCTTTGCAAACAATTAGTAAAATCCTTATAGCAGTCCTCCTCATCATGTATCCTGTTAATAATATTTTTTTAAACAGGCATCCATTTTCCTTTTGTTTTTGAAAACATCAATTTTTAAAAAAATATCACTCTATTATGGAAGGAGTTTAACATTACCTACTTGGGGGTGGGAATTAATAAAAAAATATTTTCATAGGTGATGTTAAACCCAGTTATGATGCTCAGATGTATGGTATCATGGTTTTACTCTAACAATGTCATAGTTAAGACATTGAATTACCGTAGTTTGCAACAAGAGGAGATGCTGTTTCAGTTGTGTAAATATGCAGTTAGTTGTGAAAAGTCAGAGATTAATTGACTTTGATGAATTGATAAGGAGGAGGGTGACCAGTGCTGGAGCCCGTTCCTCATTCTACCAGGTTCCAGATGATGTGGCAGAGAGGTTTTCCCACATTCCTTCGTGGTACCTTCACTTCTGAAGATGAATGGTAATGGTGTCGATGTCAGAGTGCCAGGAGAAAAGCAGAGATGTTCTTGTATCAGATTTGCCTTCACCTGTTCGATTGTTTTAAAACCATTTTGTCATGGTTAAAGACTTTCAGAGGGAAAAGATTAACAGAGGGCAAGTGATGTAGTAAGGTTGCTCAGGTATTCAGGAACCTTCTTACTTGTCCTGTTTGGTATCATGTGCACTGCTGTAAATCAATCATAATGTGAAACAGGGTTTTTAGTAGTGAGAGGTACTGCTGAAGTAATTAATACTTTCTTTTAAAAAGTATTTATTACAAAAAGGTGTTTGTTTCAGCAATTACTCTCAAATGGAACAATCTGGAAAAATAAAGCAATACTGCCCTGACATACCTGCTAGTTCCCTATGGAGGAGGTAGATTTCCTCCATCAGAAAAAAGAAGTTTCTCCATCTCTATAGGTAGAAATGTGGTAGGTTTTTTCCCCTGCTGTCACTAATATTTGGATGAAAATTAGAGTAAGGAAAAGTAATCTCTGTAATTTTAATTCTGGGAAGTACTTGGCAATTAAAATTCTTACAGATTTTAATGATGAAGAAACAGGCTAAAGAAAAAGTTAAAAGAGATCTTTGGTAAGAGAGAGTTCTTGGTCTGAATTCTACTGGGGTTCTGTAGTAGTTGCAGCCTGTATTATTATATGCAAGAAATGCCCATGGAAGGAGGAATTACACTCTTGTAGCAGCTGAATTTGGTGGAATTTATAATGCTGAGATAACAAGGCGTTGACATTGGCCCATACGTTTTCCTCTTGTTATCACGTTCTGTTTGAAGTGATTCAATGCGTATCATGTTTGTATTGCAAATATCACACCTATAGTTTGTACACAAAAGTTTGAGAGATTTATTGTCCTCATTATATTTAATTCTCTAAATCATATATGTATTTGAGTTAAATTAGAATTTCATGTCAGTTTAGCAAGATTAATAGATAGCTTAGTGGTACTTCACATTTAATAGAGGTTCTTTAAGATTAAGGCACCATTCTTTATGCCCTAATTTAATCTCTTGGGAACTGCCAATTCATTTTCTGTTGTGTTTCTCTGGATTTTTTCCATTTTAGTTTTGGCATCTTCCACTCACATTGTAAAATAATTCTATTAGTATTGTCAGAATATAGAAGTTGTGTTTTATTGAAAGAATACTTAACAGCTTTTTAATATTTCCCCGACAATTATACACCAGTGATGTAAAGTGTATGCCTTGTAATATGCATAACTATTTCTAGCAGTATTTTATGGAAAACAAGGGAAAAAAGCATGAATTACTATTTTTAGGAAACTACAAAATCTGAGTTTGCAGAGATCCAGAGCTTTGGTTACCCAGCTACCTCATATCATAAGGCAGTAAATAAATCTTCTGTCTACAGAAGAGGTAGGTAGTGAATGTTGTGAGCAAGACTTCTTCCACCTCCACAGTGCTTGGGTAAGTTGTAAATACTAAACATATGAGAAAACACACATGTCAAAAATCAAGAGAAGACGAAGAAGAAAAACACAGATACGTAAAAAATAAATCTTTCAGATATCAAGAGGTTTAGTGGCTGTTTCATTCTATATATATGTTTATTATAGTTACACTAAAATTACTGAAAGAGGAGAGTAAATTTGCATGATGTGAAGTCTTAATTTAAAAAAACCTTCTATCAGCTGGAGTACTGGCTGCATGACCTTAGGGTGGTTATCATCTGACAGTGTTATTCTGGAAACCAGAAATTGATTACTACCCTCAGGTCCCATCTCACATGCCCTGTGGTAGCTGGGGTTGAGGACCCTGTGGGAAGAGTACCCTGCTGTCACTCAACAGTGGTCTTTCTGACTAATTAAAGAGGAGCACTGATGAGCTCTGAAAAGAAACCTGACAGCCCCCATTAAATAGAACAATGTGACATATTACATGAGTCCTGAGGAAAAGCTTTCAAAGAAAGAAAAATCAAAGGTGGGCAAGTCAAGTCCACACAAGGTTAATGGGATGATCCTACAGAGGCAGCTGAAGTGATGCTAAATATGGTGCTGTCCTTCCCTAGCTTCCATATCAAAGTTTTCATATATATCACAGAGATTTATACAACTGAAATTAACACTGCTGTGGGATAACAATAGAGACTTCAGATTTATTCTTGCTTTGGGAAATAAAATATGTGTCAGTCCAGGATGGGGCTCTGTTTTATTGGGTGTTACATGACCATGTAGTGAAAATGAAAGAACCTTCCTGCAGAACTTCAGATTTAAGGGTGCAGGAAAGGAAACTTAGTAGAATAATTAAAATACTTCCCAGGGTGAAATGATTCCTCAATACCAGTAGCTGGAACAGAAACCATGTCTCCTGTCAAACCCTGTGGTACATTCTGAGCCCTAAATATGAGACATATAATAAGTAGGAATTTTCATTCTCAAATTATTAGGCTATTTTTTTTCTACTTTTCAGAGTTACAGAGTAAACTGTATCTTCCCTCTTCCCAAATGCAGAATAATCTTCTGTTTCGTATTACCTATCAAAGTGTCATGGCCCTCTAGGCTTCCTTCCTGTTACAATTGCCATTAAATATTAGCATGAACACATTGGACAAGGCTGCACTTTGTGTAGAAAAAAACATGGTCTTATTTGTGATATTAGCAAAGCAGCTCTGTCAAAATAAATATACTATCATCATGTTAGGAAACAAAGTGAATGGAGTGAGTCATGTACCTTTTTGCTACAAGTAGTGACAGGAGACATGTAAATATGTATTAAATGATTCAAAAAATCATAAGGATAAAAAAATAGTAATTTACATAGATGAACAAGCCAGCACTACATGGCTTGAGCTACATGCCGTTGTATACTTCAGTGATGGAGGAATGAGGGTAGAGAATTGAACAAAACAGTGGCAGTAAAAAAATTCTGCCCTGGGTTAATTTATGACTAGGGTTTGTTTGTTTGCTAGTTTTTCAAACCACTACTAATTTGCCCAAGAAGCTCGAATGGTCAAGACAGCTTGCATAATAGAATCACAGAATATGCTGAGTTGGAAGGGGCTGATCATGATTATCGAGTCTAACTCCAGGCCCGGTGCAGGACACCCCAAGAATCACACCATGTGCCTGAGAGCATCGTCCAAATGCTTTTTGAACTCAGACAGGCTTGGTGCTTTATAGTCAATGATGCACAAGAGACTTAAGAAGCTGATGTGAACTGGCTCTTCAGCCTGTCTGACAAGGTACCTATTTTCCTTAGCTCACTGGAAGGTTGTCTTCTGCATAATTTAAACTCATGCTTCTGGAATGACAGCAAAATAACTTTTCCACTCTGCTTTTCTAAATAGCTGCTTCTAGAAAAAATCGGGAGTCTTTACTTACATTGTTCCTACCTCCCCATTATTGCTGTTACCATGTTATTTTGTTTTCTCTAATATGGATGTTTCTGATTATAAATGAATCTTGTAAACCAGTCATCCTAGTTCTTAAAATCTACATTACACTGAGAAAGGCTATATTTGTTTCCTATGTGTAAGATGTTTAATATTTCTGTACATCTTCTAATACTTTTATTGAAGCTGAGCTTCTTCCCCATTAAAATTGCTTTAAACAGACTCGTTAAAAATCCTATTAAAACAAGCAACACATGATTTTTAATGTGGGAAAAACTCTTGAAAATATGCAGTTCTAATTGTTGGTTTAATCTAATTCTTCATGTGATAAATTGATAATCTGGAATGTTATGAACACTGAAGGTCCTGGGTGTTTTTCAGTCTTCATGACAGTCTTCATTTTGTTTATATGAAATATAGAAAAGTTGTTTTACTCGCAGGAGTGTGCAGCTTTTTGTTTTCTTTCTTTTTCTATTTATACAACATATTTGTTTATTTTGCCCTTCAACACAAAAAGCTGTTTAATTTCCATCCATTCACTGAAAAGTATAACTGGAAAAGATTTTATAAATTCTTGTGTTTAACTTTCTTTTTTTTTTTCCCTTTAATTTAAAGTCAGAGATTTTAAAAATAGAAACAGTAAACTCACCATGAATTGTTTAAATATGAATGAGTCCTATTTTTCTCACTTACGTTTCGCTTATATGTAAAAACTGTATGCCATCTTTGAACAACTGAGAACTCAAAAGCACTACTTGCTCACAGATGCAAAGAGCTGTAAACACGTACAAGTTTGAAGTCCACAAATAACTGTGAAAGCCTACAGAGTATGCACTAGCCAAAGTCTTCTGTTAACAGACTCTAGTATTGTTTTTATGTTTATAAATTCACTACTAACTTCATGTTTTGCCATTATTTCTCAGAAAAACACATTAAACATACAAGGCACATGCAAGACAAAGAGGGTGATCCAGGACAGCACTTTCATCTCATATCACAGAGATCCTTGCACTAGAACCTGAAATACTTTCTGTCCCCAGCAGACACCATCACCAGGCCCCAAGATTCAGGAGGAGCATGTCTAGTAAAAGGCTCAGCAAAATCAGGAAGTCTGAAAATGTCTCATAGGTTTTCTGCAGTGAGGTACAGAGCTACTGCCCTGATAACCATACTGAGATGGCCAGTCATCTTTTGCCGGCTGTTTGGAGAAGAGGATACTCAGGACCTATGAAGTGATAGAGCACTGTATATTTGGTAAATGAGCAAATGCTGATCAGTAAGGCAGCCTGATCTTCTACCAACACTCAGGCCAGACAGTCCCATAGCTTTAGCTACATTAGCTCTTTTCCTGTGAACAGTCTCCAGGATTTCGGTGGATTTCCTTAGACTGTCTTACAGAAGCAAAGCAGAATCTGGCACAGGAGAGAATTTCTTTTGAATCTCCATTTTATTCCTAAATCCTTTTCTTCTTGGAGTATGTTAAAACCATAGGACAACATTTATATTAAGGGAAGCTTTATGCCATGATAGAACTGTGAAAACAAATTTCAAAGGCATATCCTTAATATTGAAAAGATTCACCACTGACATACTGCTCTTCTCTCTAATAAGCAAGTCTGAAACTGCTCTGAGTTGTGAAGGAAGATAGATTCCACATTAGAAGAAGCCATTGAAACCATGAAGACAAGCGCTAGAGATGATGTCTGGCAATTTCATTTGTATGTGCTTGTGGAAGCAGAATAGGATGTCCTAGCACCGAAGGGGATCTTAGATACAGAGATTTCAGAGAACACTTAGTTTTTAAATTCTCCTAATAATTGTGAAACCTGAGTTTATGGAAGAAAGTAATACCTTAAATACTGATTTTTTTCCCCCACTGCATATGATCCATAATACTTAAAAATTAAACAATCAAAGGAAGAACCGCTTACCAGCAATCATCTGAGAAAAGGAATTAGTGTAACATAGCAGTTCTGAAAAAAACAAATTAAACCCCACCAGAAACACAGGATAGGAAGTCCTGGGCCATGTAAAAATCAAAGGCAGAAATCCCACTGACTTCTGCTGGATCAGAATTTCACTCAGCATGAACTTAAAGTAAGAAAAAACAAATTATCTATATGCTAGCTAGGCCAAGACATTGTAATTTACATTTGTGATAGTACCATGCTATTGATGCATCAGCATATGTATAGTGCAAATTCAATATGTATTTTAGTTAAGATAGATAATTGCAGATCCCTCCATAAATTACATGAATAGTGAAATCAAAGATAAGTGCAACTGAAGATAGAATTGTAGCAAAACACCTGCATGAATCATTTCTGTGGTCTAGGTTTGTTTCTGTAGGACACAAGCAGGTTGCACTCACACAGATCTTTGCATAAATTTTGTGCTCTCCAAAGAAGCGCAGAATTGTACACATGGCATTTGCGTAACGCTGAACTAAGGAGTTTCATCCTCTTTCCTGAGTGATATGTTTGTAATCTAAAGAGTAAGAGACAACTCAAAGTCCATCGTTATTGTGGGCTATCTTGAGTACACTTCCATGGCAGGAGTGGAGGCAGACCACTTACAAACACAACATGCAGATGAGAGGGTGAAACAGCTCAGTTTTGTCATCTCAAAGGTGATCTCGTCTTTGAGAAGGATCTACTAAAGAAAAAGAACCTCCACTCTGCCTGACATGGAAGTGTACTTAAGATAGCTCACAAAAATTACTAGCTTTGTAAGAAGGACAAATGGTAAAAGTGGGTAAACAACTTAACCTAAGATCTCCACTGAGACAACTCAAGGAAAGAGTATTTAACAGAGGGCTGAAAAAAATACAAGGGTATAAAAAGATTTAGCCATAAATAAAGTATTGTAACATGCAAATATCTTAACATTCATGAACACCAAAGCTACTAAATCATAGCATATACTTGTTATGTTGCTCTGAAATCCGCTATCTATATAAAAATCCACTCTCTGTATAAAATTGGGCTTAAGC